CTAAGCACTGGGGGATACGAATATAAAAAAGAAAGTCAGTTCTTGCCCTCAAGGAGCTTACAATTTAATGGATGAAGACAATGCAAAAGGAAGCTGAAAAAGGCCAGGGCAGGGGAAGGAAAAATATAATAAGCTCTTATGGGATGATGAGGTTATCCCAATAATAACCTTCCTGAGGCATGGTGGAGAAGAGGAATCCCAAAGTAGTGCAGCCAGGTGAGAAACGAGGCAATATTATCACCACCACCATCATCATCATCACCATCATCATCATCATCACCACCACCACCACCACCATCATTATCATCATCATCACCACCATCATCATCTGCAATTACATAGTGCTTTAATGTTTTCAAAGTACTTTATAAAATATTACCTCATTTTATCTTCACAACTGCTCTGGGAGATAAGGATGTACAGAACAGGAGGGAGATACTATTATTATTCCTATTTTACAGATAAGGAAACTGAGGCAAACAGAGGTTAAATGACTTACCCATAGGCACATAGCTAGCAAATATCTGAGGCTGGATGTGAACTCAGCTTCCAATCGTTGCATAACCTAGCTCCTCTAGGTGAAGGTAGCAACTGTCTGCCCCAGGGAGGTTAAGATCGGAGGGTAGAGTCATGTCAATGCCACATTTCCTTAAAGGAGTTCTCTCTCTCTCTCTCTCTCTCCCTCTCTCTCCCTCTCTCTCTCTCTCCCTCTCTCTCTCTCTCCCCTTCCCCTCGATTCTGTGTAAGACAAAGCAAAAAAAAAAATCATTTAAAAATATCTTCATTAGGACAAAAATCAGAGACCATCATAATCACTCCACTAAATGTAAATCCCGGCCAGGATCAAATCAATAAAAAAAAAAGTACCCTTGATTAAATTTCTTCCCGCAACTCCCCTAGCCCAGAGCTGTCTCAGAATTCTATCTCTGGCCCCTCTCCTCATAAAGAAGGGATAGATTGACCTCACTGCAGAAAAGGTCCTCTAACTGCTGAATGGGACCATCAGTGTATTCCTTCTGAAGTCAGTCCTTTGGAAAATGCCATTTTAGTGCCTAGCCACAAGTCTCTTTCACCAGTGGCTGAAGGTGTCATTCTTCCTGTTGAAACTTTTCTTCCCATTATTTGAAAGGTCTGTACAGCTCTAGAATGATGCTTATGAATTGATTGGGGCAGGGACCCTTTCCCCACCCCAGTCCCCAAGAATGGCTTTTGTCTGACAAACTACAAAGGGTGATCTTTAATGCCAAAAAAGTTGCAGTGAGATTGGCAGGGAGATAGAACAACAAATTTAAATACCTTTTGTCTGTTCAAACTGTACAGAAAACAAAATATTGACAAGTAAGTATATTAGTCCATTTATGTTTGTTTTCAAAAGATAAAAATAAGCCAACAAAATGAATTTATTGAGCACTAGGGAGAAGTGGCCTTTGATCTGACCCTGCTGAATTTCACTGAGCTGTCTCAGCCCTAATCCTGAAGGAGGGGAAGCCTCTGCCTCAGTTTCCCCAAGGCTATGCTGATTTAGGAATGCACGCCTCAAATCCGGAGAGGTTCTACTGGCTATTGGTCCAGGCACCATGCCCCTTACTGCCTTGCTTTATCTTCATCCTCCTAAGAGAGGTCAGAGTTGCAGTCACACAGAGGCAGTGAGGGAATAGGCAATACATAGCGGATACCACAGGCAGGTTGGGAAGAAGAGTCTGGGGAAAGAGAGGCAGAAAGGGATGCTGAAGTGTGGTGATGGAAGAAGTGTTAAAGTGGAGAGATGGGAAAGAGAATGAGAAATCAACATGGAGTGGCAACATGGGTAGGAAAGCAAAGGGCCTCCAGTGCCATAGGCTGCCAACACAGAGGGGAATTAATTTCCTCTGGAAAATTTCTGCATTATGTATTCTGGGCCACAGACACATATGAGGAGAGGAGACCTTTTGGTTGTTGCTTGGATGGAGCCGGAGTAAGTATGTCCAGACAAAGAAGACCAAAAAAAATTCTGCACACACAGGGAGACCTGTTCATGGTGACTGGGTTACTTGTGAGGTCCAACGTCCAGGGTGACGTCTCACATTCTACACCCCCACCCCCATTATGCCCGTCACTATTATTATGTTCCATGCTTTCCCCTCTGGTCATCCAATTTTGCAATGGCTGGGGCCTGGGAGTAGGAGATGGAAGGGTGACTGGAGCTAGCTGGGGGAGTGGGCAGGGCATCTCAAACATGGGAAGCCTTGTCAGGACCATTGCTTGTCAAATATCTTTAACGTGGCAGGCAGCTGTGCCAAATTGATCTCTAGGTCAGAGGCAATTTTTCTTTGAGGGGTGAGGGGTACCAGAAAAATATTAGAGTATTTTCCAAGTTTGGGCTACTTACTTTGCAGGGGAAAAAATAAATGATACTGTGACAGATGTAGGACCATATGACTTACAAACTCATGAGTAGCTTCCACTGGCAGGCTGTCCCCCTACTTCTCAAGCTTCCTCAAGCTTGTTGGCTTCTCCCCAAGGAGACCGTCTCTTCCTTTCTTCTGTTTCCTGTCACCCACTCTCATTGGGTTCACTCCTCTGTCTTCCCTGACTCTCCCCAAGCTGGAGTGGGGAAACCACCCAACTCTAGCCTAGAGAGGAGACAATCTTCCTTCAACTCTTGCTTCTCTGCTGCAGAACCTTTCAGACCCATTCTGTGCCTCAGAAAACACAGGCTGGGTGGGAAAGCAGTGGGATGGAGTCTCCATGCCCTCTGCCAGGGCGTTTTTGGTTCTTCAGGTTGGAGTTTGGAATATCTTTTCTCATAGAAAAATGTTCTAGTTGTATATAACTGAATAGTGGGCAGGTTGTAATGTACAGCACTATGGTTGAGCTAGAGCCCAACCTCACTGGAGGCAATGAAGGTGTTATCATAGACTAGGAGTCAGTTACAGACTTAAGTTTGAAACCTGATTCTAAGCTAACTAGCTGTATGACCTTGGGCAGTTACTCATGCATCCTCAGGGAATCTCAGTTTTCTCATCTACAAAAGGGATACCTCTTATATTCTCTGTAGTTGTTAAGGACAGAGCTTTGTAAATCTTAAAGCACTAAAGAAACTTCCAAATTCTGTAAAACATTCCCTGGAGCTCCCTTTACCAACTTTTTATGGCTGAGTAGCTAAGTCCTAGGGGAGTCAGTCACTTGATGAACACAGAAGTTAAATGACTTATTCAGGGTCACCCAGCTAGTATCAAAGGCAGGATTTAAAATGAGATATTCCCAACTCCACACTTAGTAAAGCTATCACCTATGGCTGGTTGCCTCTATATTACTACGACATGTTGGGTTAAATATGCTTTTAAGCGGTCTGGGCACTGAACATTTATAATGTTGCTTCCATGGGGAAATAGGTTCCCATTTTCAAAAAAACTTACTTAGAATTCACACTCCTTTTTGAAACACACTCTTTATTAACTGGGATTGACTGTTCTTCACATTTTCCATAAGGATGGTGGCCTACTTTCCAAAGTTCTTTGGCCTTGGATGGACTGGGGATATATCTTGAATGTATGCTTACTATGGATGTAGGCTTATACATAACCATCTCTGCAAACATCTGCACCATTCTATTGTTTCTTTCTTGTACCTTACTCTCCAGATTCAATATACAACTCTTTTTCCATTAGAGAAATTGGTGTATTCACTTAGATGGGTAGGGGCTTTGTTTTGAGTTGGTGAGATGTTAAAATTTCACCCTTGCAATGATCATCAGCATTGTCATATTTGGCAATTCACCAGCTGTCAGCTAAGAGCAAGGCTTTATGTTGGGTCTTGTGATAAACAGGGAGAAAAGCCTGCCAGGCTTCATTCTGAGGTTTTCCAGCATATAATGGTCCCTTGGCAGTGTGGATCTTTAGAAAATGCATCTGGATCGTATCCACTGGCTTTCATTGATTTCTTTCAGTATCATCCTTTTTATTCTTTTATGCCTTTGCCTCCTACTTCCAATATAACATGTGCCCATCCAACTGGGTTCCCATCAACCTTATGGTTGTTGGATTCAACATGCAAATTCCAGCATTGGCTCCTTAGCTTCTTTCACTATGTATAACATACCTCGAATTTCCACGTCTATTTTACATCTCTCCACCTGAACAACCATGTCCACACAGGTATATGACATGATAATAGTACAGTCAACCTACCCATTGGTTTTCCACAACTTCCTGGCCATTAACATCCACCTGGCTTTTTTAGGCACTTCTCTTAGTTGTTGCTAGGAGGAAAGCCCTAAGCCCTGAGTGGGGGAACTGAACACTAAATGGGGTTTGGAAGTATAACACTTGTATCCCAGGTAAGGAGAGCAGAAATGCAATCTGATCCATCCTGTTAATAACTTTAGCTGTTAACCCAGTGTGAGGGTAAAGAACACTGGGACATGGCATGTAAATGTGAATCAATATTTGTATAATATCTGAGGACCCCAAGAGGTCTTGGACTGCCCAATGAGAAGTGTCATGGGCACTTCTAGGTGAAAGGTTAACTGTCCCTGCAGGGAGGGAGACACCTAAAAATCCTCCCTGCCCCACAATTGATTTGCCTATGCCAGTTACAACTTGACCTATATCTAGAATTTTGAGCAATGGAGACAGTGGTCAGCAAAGCATTCCTGACATTTTAAAAATGTTTGTACACATGCACAGAGATGGGCATGTCTTTACAAGAGACTATACAGATGTGAACTGGTGAATATAGGTGTGTAATGTACTTGTTCACCTACCTATGTACCTGGTTGGGGGTGTGTGTGTGTGTGTGTGTGTGTGTGTGTGTGTGTGTGTGTGTGCTGCTTTTTTTTTTTCTTCTTTTTTTTGATACATTCACAAGCCTTACCAAAGCTTGTGCCTAACAGTGCATTTGTGCCCTCGGGTATAGTTGCACATACCCAAGTATGGCTATTTGCCTTTTTTTTTTTTTTGCTAGTCAATGGGGGTAAGTGACTTGCACAGGGTCACATAGCTAGTAAGTGTTATGTGTCTGAGGCTGGATTTGAACTCAGGTCCTCCTGAATCCTGGGCCGGTGCTCTATCCACTGCACCACTTAGCTGCCCCTATTTGCCCTTTTTAATGTAGGTATGAGCATGTGCATGTACCTATTGCAATAGGTATTGTTAAATATTTCTCATCTCTTGAACATCCACAGTGGCTAGGCCAGATTGACTAAAATATGCCTTGCATGTGTAAATATAGGCCTGCTTGCCTTGAGGGCTCTCAGGCTGTTTTGTTTGCTAGCTTTGGAGTTTTTTAGTTTAGAAGTCACTCTGGGGACCTAGGTAGCCATGTCATGGATTTCTTCTTCCCTGGACATTGGTGGCTGGATCTAAGATCCCAAGTCTCAGGAGGAGGATGCCTTTACTTCCTTCCTCCTGTTAGACAGGTAATGATGGCCTCTTCTCTAGCTGAAGAAGCTTGGGTTGAGTAGAGATCCATAGATCCTCTTCACCTTTCTTCTTCTTCTTCTTCTTGTTCTTTTCTGAAGGCCCGTTGTTCTTGCCTGGCCTGCTCCAGCAGCAATGGCAGCAAATGAAGAAGAGGGCTAAAAGGACCAGTATGGGCAGCCCCAGGAGAATCCCCAGGCAGATGGTGTTGAAGAGACCCTGCTCATGTTTGCTGTAGATGAGGCTCCAGAGGCTGCTGAAGAAAGAGCTGATTTTCTCCATGGGAGTTGACTAAATCAGGGCAGATTAAATCTTCCTGCTCACCACCTTTCCACTGGCTCAGCTTGACTCTCTCTCTCTTTGATGTGTGGTCCTTCCTCTGGCTCCTGTCTTTATAGAAGATGAGGAAGATCCGGAAATCCCAGCAGATAGCACCTGAAGAGACAGAAGATGACAGCAACTTACAATCCTATCAGTGAGATCATGGGCTTTAAGCCTGGGTAGGCTGGACCTCTTGTTTACCATTGTCCATTTAGGCCTGGAAAAGGAAGGGGGCATTAGAAATAAACTCAATGGGATTTTATGGGGGACCAGTGACCAGAGGGAGGGAGATTGTACCACAACAGAAAAATCAGCATCATAATAACAAATAGAACACACACTCCTTGAGGGCAGGGACCAGTTCACTTTTGTCTTTGTAGCCCTGAAACTTAGCATGGTGCCTGGAGAATGCTGGCACTTTATAAATACTTGTCGATGGAATTGTCACAGATGCAACCCTTTATAATTACATGGAAGGTAGCATGGCTAGGGAGTTATGCTATGATCTATGCTTCTATGACAAGAGGTCGATTGACTTTCTATTCCTTACTATTATATTAACTCATTTTTGGCTAGTGGAGCAAGATTGATAGAAACTGCCTCTTGTTGGCTCTTCCCCAAAATCTCTTCCAAACTCCTGGCCCTAGAGCAAGGAAGACCCAGGTTCAAGGCCTCTTTCTGACACACATTAATGATGTATGGCCCTGAACAAGTCACTTGACCTCCACTGTCCCAGGAAACTCTCCAAGATCATAAACTGTGGATAAGGTGCTGAACTGCATTGATAGAGGGAGTTTCCTACTCCAATAGTTTCTTTCCCTATCCATAGAGTTATAAAGAGCTTTACAAACAACTCATTTGATCCTCCCAACAATCCCAACTCCAAGGATGACCCTCTATGCTCTATGCTGGGTTGCCTATCATATAAATAAATAGATGAACAAGAACAAATAATATGTAAATGCTTGTGTGTATATGTGTACAGACTTTAATGACCTTAAGTTTCACAGGGGTAGGGTCTGCTCACCAGATCACAATTCCTTTATGAGTTAGTATTAGACACAGTGTGATGAAATCACTGGCCCAAGGATTCATAGTGAGCACTGAAACCTGGAGAATTTCTTGGTCCAGGCTGGTTTCTCTGAGACCTCACAGGCAATGAGCGGCTGGCTCTCCCAGTTCTGAATGATGCTATAATTCTGTGATAAGGGGTGGATTGGCCCCCACCTTCCTTTCTACCCCTTGTGATTATATTTAATTCATTTTTGGATAGGAGCATAAGATTTATAGAATTTCACCATTTCTGACTATTCCCCATAATCACGTCAAAATTCACACAAGTGTCATGGAAAAGAGGCCAGGAAGAGATTTATTTCCCATCATTCTCCCAGATTCTAAGCATTATAGCAATAGATGCCTCAAAAAGGCCCAGAGACACATAAAATAAACAGCAACCCAAGCCCTATTCGAGCATAAGTTTATAAAAACTACGTGACTACTCTAGCTTAAAATCAAATTCATCATTCAACAGAAAAAAAAAAGGTTGTGAAAATTCACATGCCAAGCTCAGGAGACTGTGTGAATACTTCTTGGGCCTGGAGAACCGAGCAAACACACAAACTCATTACATAGCCTCCCTTTGACGTCAACTAGTCCTGTTGACTTTAAGGGAGCTCTGACAATATTTCCAGCCTTCTTTCAAAGGAAACTCAGAACCACTTTCTTCGGATTAGCACCTTATTTCTTCAGGGGCAGTGTGGCATACTGGATAGAGAGCTAGCCTGAAAGATCTCAGTTCTATCTCTCACAGATTCTGGCTGTGTGACCTTGGAGAGATCACTTAATCTCTCAGTGTCCTAGGAAACTCTTTAAGCCTGTAGGTTGCAGAGAAGATGCTGGCCTGCACTGGGAGAGGGTATCTCACTGTCTCTCTCTCTCTCTCTGTGTCTCTCTCTCTCTGTCTGTGTGACTCTATCTCTCTCTGTCTCTGTCTCTGTCTCTCTGTTTCTCACTGGAATTCCTTGTATCAATGAAATCACAGACCCAGATCTTATCCCTTCTTCCTTCTCATCCATTCATTCAATTAATCAATCATTTAACAATAAGTATCTTTTAAAGTCCTATTGTGTATAGGGAACGTACAATTATGGATAAGCTCCTGGACCTGTCTCAAGGATCTTAAATTTACAAACTACCATATAAATGAAACATAGGTTCATGAGATCTAGAGTTGGAAGAACCTTTGAGACCATCTAGTTCATGGAAGAGATTGAGCCCCAGAGATACAAAGATGGTTCTATATAGATGGTAAGGTAGAGTTCAGACTCAGGCTTTAGATCAGTTTGCAGCCTTCTGACTCTGGAGTCTGACATCTAGTAACAGGGATTGAGGATTCCAGGTTGCTGAAGGTTTCTTGCTGGAGATGTTTGGAATCTTTAGGCATGGCAGGAAGCAGCTGAGAATGCTATGGTCTGACCCAGGGAAGAGGCAGGAGGAGATGCAGTTGTTCAGTGAAAAGTTATTGAGCCTGGCAGCTAACAGTCTTTCTTCCCAGGTCTCCTGAATACAAATCTGGTGCATGTCTCAAGAGAACTACTGATTTTTCTTTCCACCTTTTTTTGCTCTTCTCCTGCTTATGCTTCACACCTAAACCTAAAGCTATTGTTTAGACTCCCTAGAGGCTAAAAGGCCTCTGCTCCGGCCTGGTGTATTAACACTTGAGACCTTTTTTCCAAGCTGACACTCTTCCCAGATGTCCTGGGGCTCCCAAAATTCCTCCACAAGGATTTCTAAGCAGGAGAAGATGTGAAAGCAATTTGATCATGTTTTTAAAGGTGCTGCTCAAACAAAAACTATTATTATCTCAAAGGGCAAAGGACCCACGTCAGGACGAACAGTTATGAGTAGGTAGATAGCATCATGAAGACCCAGTTCAAATCCTGCCTCTGACACAGATTGACTGTGTGACCCTGGATAAGTCATTTAACTTTCAAGTATCCCCAGAAAACTCTCCAGGACTAGAAGCTGTAAAGCAGTTGTTGGAGGGAATGTCCTAAGAGCCCCCTATATAGACAAAAATCACAGGGTCATATGATAAAATGCTAACTTTAAAATTAAATCGAAAAAAATTAAATTGAGTTTAAAAGCAAGGAGGAATTTAGGCAGCTCAATAAACTTAAACAGATGATTGCATCTGAGTTCTTAGGTCACTTGCATATCCCCCTCTCTGACACCAAACACAAGCCCCTTCCCTCCTGTATTTACTATGGCTTTTATATAAACATGTTTCTTTTTGAGATTATACTGAGTCAATAATTCACTTTGGTACCAGGGAAGTTACTTATTGGACTACAAAGAGAGCATTCATTAGCATTTGTGGGAAAGGTGGCCTTTATTTCTGTTGAGGCTAACTATTCTCCTCTAGGTCTATTAAGACCTCTACTAATCTATGGAACTTCATTCCCATTTATGAGCTGCTGTACTATCATTTCAAGAAAACAGCTGAATTCCTCTCTAGTGGCACCTGTGAAAATTCTAGGATCTTCCCCAGAAAGATTTAGCACAGGGCCTCCTTTCAATCCATTGGCCCCAAAAATGTACCCTGAGGAGGGGGAACAGAAGGACCCTTCCTTTGGTGACTTACCCAAGACTGCAGACTATTGTGGATCTATACCTGTGACTGCAACAGAAGGTGGGCAGTTATTCTGGCTAGAGAGAAGTGAATTTATTTTGGATTGAGGACAGCAGTAGGTATTAGCTAAAGACTGCTTTCTGGGAGATAGAGGAGGACTGCAGTGATAAATTTCTTTTTGCTTTTTGCATTTCCTTTCCACTTCCTATTACCATGCTACCTCTTTCTTTGCCTACTCCTGCTCTTTTTCTTATCCCCTCCCAGAATTAAAAAAAAAATCACAGGTCACCTCCCTATTTAAGATGAATTGTGAGTCACAGGGGACCTGGTCCTTTAAGACCAGTCTACTGCCTTATGATGGTGACTCTGGATTCTGGTATCTAGCAATACCAACTGAGAATTTCAGTTTGGTGAAGGTTTCTTGCAGAAGATGTTTGGAATCTTTGTGGGGCAGCTGAGAACGCCATGGTCTGACCCAGGGAAGGGAGGGAAGGAGATGCAGTTGCTCAGTGAAATGCTATTTAGCTTGGCAGCAAAAAAGGTTTCCTTCTTTCCTAGCCAGTCCTCTCCCCATCCACCCCTTGATTTGCCCCAGGTCACAAGTTGCTATGCAATGGAATCTAGATTCAAACTCAGGTCTTCTGAGTACAGGGGCCCTTCTCTTTTAGCATGCTATCCTGATGTCTTCCAAAGAATACATTCTCTCAGCAGCCCTGGTCTTTCTTGGAGTCACTGTCTGATCTTGGGGTTCAGGATATAGATCTTGAAACAAATC